GACTGGGTGACCCACAGAGGTCCCTTCCAACCCCTACCACTCTGTGATTTTCTGATTTTAATCTCAAATTTTCTCTTTTCTTACCTGCTGGCTCCAGCAGCTTGATGCACAGGAACATCTCCCTCCTTGGGGAAATGTGGTTACAGTGTGCGGTGCCAGGAGAGCCCAACGCCACCGTCATGGCACCCAAAGGTGCAGGTATTCACACTGGCCACAGCCAGGATCCTGCTGGGACCCGTTGTCGGCAGTGGGGGACAAGGCACAGAGGTGCCTTCAGCTATGGGGCTCCTGCAGGGTTTGGGACTTTTGCCTGTTTTTGGGGGGAAGCAGCCCTGGGCTTCATGACCCGTTCCTTCTCTAAAGAAAAACTCTGCTAGACCCCCCTCATTTTGGTAACATTACAAAAATGTCACTGCGTTCAGGGTACCCCTGAATCTAGGAAACTCTCCTCAATATCATCACAGTCACTCAGATCTTTGAAAGAAGGTGGGGAGAGCACCAGGGATGGAGGAGGAAAGAAAAGCCAGGAGGCGAGGGGAGCAGCCGCGTGGGGAGGGGACACGTCCCAGCGGGGTACGGGTGGTGTGAGCGTGGACATCTCCACATCCCACCATCGAGCAGCTCCCGGCTGCCTGCGATTCTCCGGCCGCCGGGTCTGGAGGCAACGCCGGGGCTGGAGCCATCCCCCAGCACCATGCGCCGAGGCTTTGGTTGCCATAACAACTGGATTCAGGCTTCAAAAATAGTAACTTATTTCTCATTCAAGTTGCCTTTTGCCCTCTGAGACAGATCTATTTCGGGACTGATGGTTCACTTCAGGTGTCCCTTGCCAGCACCCCTGCCTGCTGGCAGGGGGCTTCAGGGACATGGGCCATTTTGTTAAACGTGGTTTATCGCCATTTTTCTCTCCCTCCGCTGTTTGGGCCCAGAGAAAGGTAAAGCAGGGCACAGGCACCACGAAATAGCCTTTGCCAAAGCCTCGTCATCTAGCAGGCTGGGGAAGAAACTTGAAAAAAATCTTCCCGGCTAAGTGGCAGAGCGTGGGAGAGGTTTTGGGAGATGATCTCACTCTGCATCTCAGCCCGGACCTGTCGCTCTCAGGCAGGGCTTGGCTGTCCCAGATACGCTGGGAAGGTCCTACCAAAGAAGGGGCTTATTTTCTTCCCCCTGCACCTCCTGCATCCCACCGTCATCAGCCTGGTCCCCGACGGCATCTTCCGTCCGTGATGGGAAATGTGAAGGGAGGCTGACCCCGCTGCCAGCTCCCAGCGTCGGGGACCCAGGGTGCTTCTTGTGTGTGTGGAGGACACTCCACAACGCAGGATGCACCTGGAGCATCACCATTTTTGCATCCCCTGAGGGGAAGAGCTGCTTTTGGAAGGGATTGCAGAGGGCGTCAGGATTAATTTGTGCCTTGAATTAGGGGACCCACCTTAATTTTTGTCCGTTTTGGCTTTTGGAAGCTGTGTGTTCGTGTGATTTCCCATGGAAATGGCCATGACCATAACCCTTTGTGTTGAGATGTCCTCGCCTGTTCCACCTTCCTCCCGCCAATGTTACTACAGCATCAGCAAGGAGTGGTTGCACTGGGGAGACCCGCGCTCTCCTCCTCCACTTGCTGCTGGCCTTACGCCACCTTTCTTGTCCCTTAGCTGCTGGCCTGAAGGTGCCTGCGGTTTCTAGCACGGGGTGGGCAGGGATGATGCCTGCAGACAGGCCCCCATTGCCCTTCACAGCCCCTCTCTGAGCTGCCCAACCTCAGATGCACGTTGGGATCTCAGCTCCTGCGGGACCATCCAGCCCCGCATGATGGAGGGATGAAGGCTTAGCATGGAGATGGGGTGAGGACCCTGGGGGTCTCCAGTCCTTGCCCCGTTGTCGTGCGGCTTCATCCTCCTTCTCCGGAGCAGGGAGGGATGGCGGGATGCTGGCAGGGGTCGTGTCCCCACAGCGAAGAGACTGGGGCAGAGCCACCCACCCCAGATGGGGCCTCTGGAAAATAATGGGCGGGGGGAAAAATTAAAATCATTAAAATCAAACAAATAAAAGTAAAGCCAAACAAACCA